CACTGTGGGAGACAGAGATCAGAGAGAGGCCAGAAAGCAAAGAAAGGAAAGGGAACAGGAGAGAAGAGAAGGCAACACAAAAGGAAAAGACAAGACAAGGCTCTCCAGGGTCAGCAAGTCTGGGAGCCGCGGAGTAAGGCCAAGTAAAACCCTCTGCTTCACTTCAGCGTCTGCACTTCCCACCGGGCCGGCCCGGGCGGCCAGCACAGGGGCGGCCAGCACAGGGGCGGCCGGGTGGGGAGAGGCACCACCAGCAAGATGGCCCCACAAACAGGGATGAACGATCCATCATCGGCCTGGAAGCATGGCCAGGAGGTCTGACACAGCCCCTCCCCCGCCCAGCAAATCTTCCGGATCCGATCCCCTGGCCCGTCCGGAAGCCTTGCAGATGCACCCAGAAACCCCCTCTGTCCTGAGGAGGGTGGGCTCGGCTTCAAAGGCGAGAGTGTCTTCATGCCGCCAGGAGCGCCCAGGACGGCCTCGCTGAGCCCTGCAGGTGGCCAGGTGGAGAGGGGCCTGCACAGAGCAGAGAGGGGGAGAATAAGTTCAAAGTCAGGAGGTGCTGGGTTCCAACCCCAGCTCTGCAGCTTTAAAGAGAGCGCCTCCACTCGCTCACCTTCCTGGAGGTTGGCACGACCTCCCACCAGATGGTTCTGCTCCCTGGGCCCCGTCGAAGGACTCCGCAAACAACTCGGGCGTTTCCAGGAAGCAGGAGCCCAGCTCGGGGCCACGGAAAGCCCGGTCCCCAATGTTGAGTCAGCCTTGAGTCATGAGCTAAAAACACACGCTTGCCGATTGCCGCTCTCAGCGGCCGTGATTAAGGCAGGGCCGGTGAGAACTGGCAGAGAGGGCATTCCAGGTGAGGAGGCATCACCTCGGGCCTCCGTCACCGGCCTTTCCACACGAGCTCTGGCCGCCCCGACCAGGCCCTGCCTCCAGAGAAAAACTGAAGCAGCATCAGCCAACAAGATGCCCCTCATTTCAGATGACCTTTCCTCCCTCAGTGTTTTGAGTGCCAAATGCTAAACACACAAACTGTAATTGGTTTGCTCTGCCGCCTGGAGCAGAGAGTCTTTCTACCTGAGCTGCAGCCCCCTGGGGTGGGCGGGTAATTCTGCTCTGAGCCCATCCCATGCCAAGCCATCTGTGGGACGGAAAGAAGATGAGCCCTCCCTGGTTTGGCTCAGTGGCTAGAGCGTTCCCCAGAGGACTGAGGGTCCCGGGATCGATTCCAGTCAAGGACATGGCATGGACCTCGGTTGCAGGCTCGATCCCTGACCTGGGTTGTGGTGGCCGTAGAAGGCAACCATTTGATGTGTCTCTCTCACTAGTATGTTTCTCTCTGTGTGTCTCCTGCTTCCTCCCTTCCACTCTCTCTTAAAAAAAAAAAATCAATGGAAAAATATTTTTGGGGTGAGGATTAACAACAAGAATGAGAGGGAGGGAGGGAGGGAGGGAGGGAGGGAGGGAGGGAGGAAGGGAGGGAGGGAGGGAGGGAGGGAGGGAGGTAGGGAGGGAGGGAGGGAGGGAGGGAGGGAGGGAGGAAAGAGTTGTGTTTTTTGCCTCATTCATTCATTCATTCATTAATGTCACTTCCTCATGTCACAGCTACTGGGAACCCACTCTGCATGGGGCTCGGAGCAGAATAAGGAACTGAGAGCCCAACTTAGAGGAATTTCCACTTGAGATGGTGGTAGAGACCCAGTCTAGTCACTTTCTTTTACAGATGGGAACCCTGAGGCTCAGCCAGCAGGTCAACGAAGAGCAAGGAACAGAAGCTGGGTCCATGCCGCCCAGCGAGCTCAGGCAGCCACACCAGTCCTAGCAGAGCCGCCCCGTCTCACTCGAAGCAAGGGCAGCCCCCCAGCTCCCCTGGGCACATGGAGATCTCTCTCCAGGTGTGTCTCCAGGGAGGATCTCCAGGTGGCTGGCTACCTGCAGAACCGGGCCTTCCCCACAGGCCCCTGCCTAACCGCTGACTGCCCGGCACTGCTGGGCGGGGCTCCGCAGGTTCCCATGACTAAGGCGGTTGTCCGAGGACAGCCTAGCCTTCGCGCTGGGCCCATGTTGCAATGCCCAGCAGGTGAGGCAAGAGGGACATTTGGTGTCTGCCCAGCAGCCCCAGAGAAGCCGGGGGAGGCTGCCAAAGGCCAGGACTCCTGGGGGCTGAGCCTCGGCGCCCAGGTCGCACCTGCCTCTTCAGCATCCAGACCCCTTTCCTGATTTTTGAACTCTAACAACCTATCCAAGAATCAGAAATAAACTCAGCAGTCTGAGCTGGCCGAGCAGGATGCCAGGCCCTGGGCACCAGCACACGAGTTAACTGAGGATCGACTGGGAGACTTTAAGGGATTTCCCAAGGTCACCCAAGGAGGGAGGGCACATCTGGGCCTAATGACAGGAATGATAACATCAGTGAACGCTGGGCGCTTACTTGTGCTCGACCCTTGACGAGTGTCACTCATGTGATCCTCATGGGCCACACAGAAGCGAGAGCCAGGATCCGACTCTCCAGCAAAACACCTCGCTGCCCGCGGCACCACCGGGTCCATCTGCATCCCGCTCAGCCCTGCCTGCGGTGGCTGGGTCGCTGCTCCTCTCCGAGCTTCGCAGTGGGACCCAGACGCCTCACCCACAGTGGGGGAGAGGGTGCGGTCAGCTCTCCACTCTCTTGCTGTCCCCACCTCCAAGCCCATGTCCTGCTGTAATCACCCATGTCTCAGTGCCTCCATCAGTCACGTGGGTCCTCAGGCGCAGGGAAGAGCAGCTGTTTTGTGAGAGTAGCTGGCCATGTTGTAAGCCTGAAGGCAGGTGGGCAAGCCCAGGCTTGGCCAGGGCCATGGGGTGCCCTGGGGCGTCCCTCTTCGGCGTTGGGCCCATTGCTCTCCTGTCAAGTGAGAGCCCAGGAAAAGGGGGATCCCTCGTGCCCCTCCCTCTTTTGCTATGTGATGGCTCTAAAATTCAAAAAGTTAAATTTTAAGTTTATTTCCCAATTCAATAAACCAGAGCTATACATGTATTTCTCCTTCTCAAAAAAAAGACAGAGAATGTTTCACTGAGCACCCATGATATGCCTGGAACAGGAGAAACGCTCCATGTTTCTTGAATGAATAAATTCATTCATTCACTTCACTGACATGTGCCTCCCTCATGTGGGTTACTGGGAATGAATGAATGAATAAATGAATGAGTGAAAGATAGTGAGTGAATGAATGAGTGAGTTCACTTCACTGACATGTGCCTCCCTCATGTGGGTTACTGGGAATGAATGAATGAATAAATGAATGAGTGAAAGATAGTGAGTGAATGAATGAGTGAGTTCACTTCACTGACATGTGCTTCCCCCATGTGGGTCACTGGGGATGAATGAATGAATGAGTGAGTGATAGATAGTGAGTGAATGAGAATCAGTGAGTAAATGAGTGAGTGAACATTCCATGCCAGGCTTGGTGCCCCAAGGGTGTGACACTGAGCCTGCCCCTGGATCCTGGCTCTCAGATTGGAGGAGAAGGCAAATCTATGAAGGTCGTAAAACCTTCCTTTTCTTCTTTATAAAGCGGAGCCATTGGTGCCTCTTTGAAGCGGGTCACGGTGCAGATTCAGTGAGCTGCCTGGCCTGTGGATGAGAGTGCCCAACTGCACTCAGCACCCAGAAACAACCACCGTCATTGTTTATTTTATTACTAGAGGCCCAGTGTACAAAATTCATGCATGGGAGGGGGGGTCCCTCAGCCTGGCCTGCACCCTCTCCAATCCAGGACCCCTCGGGGGATGTCCAACTGCCTCTAGCAATTTGGGACTGCTGGCTCCTAACCGCTCACCTTCGTGCCAGCCTGATGGCCCCTAACCACCTCTGCTTCACCCCACACCCGAGACCCAGGATTCCCTCCTCCAGCCAGTCACAGGCACCCAGGACCCGGGCTTCCCTCTCTCTGGCCGGCCACAGGCACCCAGGTCGCGTGGCCAGCGGGTCCAGGCAAGAGGACCCGGGCCGGCCTCGCTTAGGCCAGTGCTGGCAGCAGGTGCAAGCCAGGCCAGCACCAGCGGCAGATACGAGTGCCAGGTGGGACTGCGGCACGCGGGAGCAAAAAATTTTCAGTAACCACCAGAGGCTCACCCAATGATAGTGACTGGCGCCCCGCCTTGGTCTGGCGCCCCTGCTCACCTACTCCACCATCCCGTCTCGGCCGACACCACCATGTTCCACACTCTGCCACCTGCTGCCGACGCCCGCCAGGTCCCTGTGTGCCCCCTGGTGGTCAGCACACGTCATAGTGACAGTTGTTCCACCATTCGGTCTATTTGCACAATAGGGTTTTATATATATATATATATAGAGATAAGAAGAAGGCCCAGCCCATGTGGCTCAGTGGTTAAGATTTGACCAATGAACCAGGAGGTCACAGTTAGATTCCCAGTCAAGATACATGCCCCGGTTGTAGGCTCGATCCCCAGTGGGGGCGTGCAGGAGGCAGCCAATCCATGATTCCCTCTCATCACTGACATTTCTATCTTGCTCTCCCTCTCCCTTCCTCTATGAAGTCAATTAAAAATATATATATTTAAACAAATAAGAAAGAATAATGATAACAGCAAGGGCTTTGCAGCCAGACCCAGACCATACTGACCCTCGGCTCCCTGCATGAGGCCAGAGGGAGGTGCTGGACTCCCCACCCCACGCCTGGGGTGTCCATCTGCAGAATGGGAAGGAGGCAGAGCCCAGTGTGCCCAGGGAGAAGGGGCCCTCGCCCGCCTTCCCAGGAGGGTGTCGCCCTGTGCCGCTGACCAGTCGCCCTCTGGCTGGCATCCCCGTGTGACTCAGCTGGCAGGGACGCTGCTGCTTTCAGAACAGGGCGAGCCCAGGTGAGCAAGGGCTGAGCGGGAATGATGGACGGCGGGGCCGACCCGGGCCCTGACTCTCACTTTCTAGAAAGCCCTGGTTCCCGGTGCTAAGAGGACTTGGGGGCCTGGGTATTTCTGGCTCAGCTGGTCTGGAGGTGGCCGGCAGGGAGAGGCGAGGGCGTGAGCTTCCCGGCGGCTCCCACAGCTCGCCCGCCCTGCCAGCCTCAGGCTGTGGCAATTGGGCCATCGTGGCCTTTCTGGGAAACTGCCTGTCCGAGCCCGTGTCGTCCATGGGCAGGTATTTCTCATGTGGGTGGAAGTGGGTGTTGGCAGGAAGGAACTGGCCAGCAAGAGAGTCACGGGTTACAAAAGTCTGGGAGGTGTCTGAGAAATTGTCCAACTTGCTGAGGCCAAAGTTCAGGCGCAGAGAGGGCCTGGGAGCCGGAGACACCGGAGCCCGTGACCTGCCTGGTTCTCTGGTGAGGAAACAGGACAGAGGGGCGGGCAGTTGGGGGCACACTTGAGACTTGACCCCCATTTCCTTGATTTCAGGGCTCGTCTCAGTCTCCCCACCTGGCTCTCTAGCGGGCGTGGGTCCAGCCACCCTGAGCCCTGGGTGAACGCTCTGTGATTACAAGCCCAGCCCTGGTACCCCTCCTGGCATGTGGACTAACCTCCACCAGACGGTGGGCGTGGGAAAGAGGCCACTGGGTCGCGTGGCCAGCGGGCCCAGGCAAGAGGAGAGACGTGTGAGAGTCCCTGGAAATCACTAGCTGGCTAGGATCCCAGGGCGGATCTTCAGGACAAACACACTCGGGGGACCATGTCCTGCCTCCTCCGGCGGGGCCCCGCTCAGCCACGCCCAGGACCCACGCGGCTCCCAGAACCTCCCCCGGGCTCCGCGCCTCCCTGCTGGGCAGCACTCCTACGGAAAACACGCGGTCGTGGGAAACCTGGTTCGTTTTCAGTGGTCTTTTTCAAATGGGCCGGATACAGGGCCACCCAAAGCAGCATCCCGGGGCCAGTTTCCTTCGAGAAGCTTCCAAGCCCACATCTGCCACCGATGCAGGAGAGACGCACTTTCACACGGACACTCACTTTGGGTTGTGTCTACTCGTTGGGTTGTGTCTGCTCATCTCCAGAGACGGACCACCTGCCTCTCAGGGCAGGGACCACGCCTTAGTAATACTGGCTGCTCTTCAGCCCCGAGCACCAGGCATTGTCCGTGCATTAACTTTAATCCTCCCAAACCACCCTGCCGGAGAAAGATTATCATCCTGAGCACACAAATGAGAACCGGGGAGGGCTGCAGTGTTGAAACGACTTACCCAAGGTCACGGCTGGTGAATTACAGGACCAGCGGGACCTGAGTTTGCCCTTTCCCACAGCCTCAAGCCTCCTCTCTTCTCTTTCCAGCATCCCTGGGAGCGGCACCAGGCTCACACAGAGTAGGTGCTCACTGCTTGCTTGCAGAATAACTCAAGGACGGCCTAAATGGATAAAAGCCATTTGAAAACTGCTTTATTTGCATTTTCAAAGAAGACCACATCGGTGCTGCTGTGAGGAAGAACACAGACTGTGCATTCGTCTCCTGCGTTTTTTGAACTCAATGAGAACAACCTCTAAGTAATTTCTTGACTTTGGGATTATTCTTAGCACAACAAAAACATTTCAATTAAAGTTTCGTCCTAAGCCAACTTCTCTTTCTTAAGAGATGGGGCCCTAAGGTCCCTGGGCGTCTCTGATGCATGCGCAGGCCACTCTCAGCACACTCAGTCCTCACAGCAACCCTGCCAATGGGCATTGTCACCAGTGTCCAGAGGAAGAGCCTGAGGTTCAGAGTGGCTCTGAGTCACCCCTTGTCCCACGGGCCTTCCAAGCATGCGCTCCTCGGGACACCAGCGGAGCAGAGGCACCCAGAACAAGGTGAATCGAGAGAAAGAACCCAAAAGTCTAGGAAGAAGCTGTTCTGTGCTCAGCATTCATGAACATTCAGGTCATTTTTCAGATACAGTCTCCCTTGTGGTGTTAGCATTAACTGTGGGTTGGGTGGCAGGTGGAGGGTGGGCAGGAGACCTCAGGCTTCTCAGTGTTTAGAGCAGCCGTGGGCAAACTACGGCCCGAGGGCTAGATCCGGCCCATTTGAAATGAATAAAACTAAAAAAAAAAAAAGACCGTACCTTTTTATGTAATGATGTTTACTTTGAATTTATATTAGTTCACACAAACACTCCATCCATGCTTTTGTTCCGGCCCTCCGGTCCAGTTTAAGAACCCATTGTGGCCCTCGAGTCAGAAAGTTTGCCCACCCCTGGTTTAGAGCCACACAGCCAGCCTTGCCTCACCCACAGAGAGAGAGGGAGAAAGGACTCTGCCGGTCAGTCCGTGCAGAGGGTCTGTCTCCCTCGGGTCTGTGCAAAGGAGCACAGCTGCCCCCCACCCTCCAATGCAGGCGAGTCCTGCCCCATCCCAGGCACCCGCCCCAGCCCCAGGCCCTGCAGAGGCAGACAAAGGAGCCGGGTGCCCCTGCCCCCACGCCCACTCTGGGGCCTGTCCGGGGAGTCCCTGGCTAGTGGCCCTCCCAAAGGCCGCTGGAACCCAGCTCCTCCCTTTGGGTGCAGTGGGAGCTGCTGAGCAACCTCCCTGCCCTGGAACCTGGGGACAATCCCCTGTCTTGCCACCTCCCCACCCTGGCTGCCGGGAGCCAGCCCCGTCTTGGAGATGCTGAATAGGCTATTTGTTATGAGATCAAAGGGCCACCTGCGAGAAGCGCCCACAGCCTGGAGCAGGCCCAGGCCCTGTCCTGCCCCAGCACCCGCCTCCCACCTGCCAGACCCCGGGCTTTCCAAACAGCCCACAGTGGCAGGGAGTCTCCCCGACCATGTCCCCTTCTAACACCTTCCTCATGCCACGCTCTCATGGGTCTCCTGGGTCCAGGGGTTTCCCTGTCTCTGTGCCCTCTCATGGGCACACCCTTCCTTGCCTTCTGCACCCAGATAAGGCTCGGGCATCAGCTCAGGCGCATTCCTTCCCCAGCTCCTCTGGCACTCCACATCAAAGAACCGCTTCCCCCCAGGCCACGCTGGGCCATGAGCCCCCACGGGCTGGGGCTGGCCCCAAGGCTGGAGCCTTGAATCCCAGGCACAACCCTCATGCGTTGGCATTGAATGAATGGGGAGGGGTATCCTGGTCAGGTTTCCAGAGAGGGAGTCAGTCAAGAACAGGTGAATGGCTGCTGTTCGAAGCCCGTCTGCAAAGGAGCTGAGACAGAGGAGTCAACCTTTAACCCCTGGGAGAGCCCGTCTCAGCCACAGACACGTCTCACTGGGACCACCGCCCACTGGCCTGTCCTGCTCGTCTCCTCCCATCGGTCCACGCCCAAACCACAGCATCTTTCCAAAGTGCCACCGGGGCCACATCCCCCGCCCCCACCGCAAGCATGTGGTGTCGCTCCCCCGCACCTGTCAGGTGCAGGCGGACCTTTGCCCTGGCTCCCAGGCCTTGAACAGCTTCTTGGAATCCAGGCGCTTGGCTTTTTCTGCCTTTCGATCGTTTTCTTCTTTGTCACCTCTCCCGGGTCCACCCACGGCGTTGCTGAGCCTCTGACACAGTCAGTCCTAGAATAAGTTTGGCTCGCCCTTGGGGAACAGTCAGGTGGGGAGAACGTGTGGGCGGGTGGTGAGTCGGCACCCTTTGGCCTGGGATGACGGATGTGTTGGGTCATTTCCTCTCTCGCCCCTTCAGCTCATCTTGCACCCCTCTGACCCCAACACCCTCCACTTCGGTCATAATGGGCTCCTCCAGTCCCTCCTGCCACAGGCCCTTTGCACAGGCTGTTCTCGCCTCTTAAAATGTCTGCTTGTGCCTTCCAACCTGCTTTTACCAGCATCTCCAGCTCTTCTAGTGACGCTTTGATGGATGGCTCCCTCCCTACAATATAAACTCTACAGAGGCAAGACTGACTATCTCAGTGGTCGGCAAACTCATTAGTCAACAGAGCCAAGTATCAACAGTACTTCTTCAAAATAGACTCGCCCAGGCCGAAAACCGACTTCTGCGCATGGGCCACGAAGTTTCATTCGCACTGTACGTGCGCGCCCGCACATGGTATTTTGTGAAAGAGCCACATTCAAGGGGTCAAAGAGCGCATGTGGGTCATGAGCCGCAGTTTGCCAACCATGGGACTATCTGGCCCACAATGCACATGGGCGTGAACGGCCAGTCCGTCCCAGAGATTCCAGCAGGCTTTAGTGCACGTGACCCTCTCTTTCCCCGTCTGCCCCTTTCCCCTGTGATCTCCTGGGGATGGGGAGCATGCCCTGTCCCCACCACCCACAGCCCAGCAGGACGCTGGGCCCATGGGCGGAACAGTGGCTCCTGTCCAGAGATGTCCACACCGGCCATTCCATTCTGCACACTGGCCAGGAGCCCCCATCAGTGAGGCCGGCCCTGCAGACCTGGCCCTTTCTGTCCCCTTCCACACTCCTGGGGCCCTGCCCCGCCCTTCCTGTCCCACCTTTTCCGAAATGAAAATGCCGACTGAGTGGGAGGCGCACTGGGCGTGCCCAGGCTGAGCGGACCCTATCAGGCCTGGCACCCACTCACCCACTCCCTGTGAGTCCCTGCCCCGGGGAAGACAGCCTTCCAGGGAACTGCCTGGGGCCCAGGAAGTAGGAACAAAGGAATCGAATTTGCCCCCCTCCCCACCTCCGGTCCCCCCTCCCCCGCCAGGCCCTGGCTGCCTGAAGCCACAGGTCTGAGCTGGGCCCTGACACAGGCCTGGGCTCACACTGTGGGCTGAGCAGGCTGCTCATCTCCCTGTGCTGTGTCCACACCTGTGAGAGGCACAATCACACGGACCCTCCCTGGAGGTCAGGAGGGTGAAGGTCACAGCAGCAGCCACCAGCTCAGCTGCATGGAACCTCCTGGGCTGGGCCGGCTCATCGGGGCAGCGGCTCAGGGAGCTGCCTTTCTAACAGACCCTGCAGGTGGTTCTGACGGGGACACGCTGAGACCACAGGAGAGAAGACCCCGAGCACCACCAACCCCCCAAGAATCTGGGGAGCGGGAGGTGACCACCAGGCCCCCGTCCCCCAGGTCCTCCCTGGACTCCAGCTGCTGCACCCCCTCCCCCAGGTCTCTGCTCCACCCCTCCCTCCTCAGGCCCAGGCTGGGCACCACAGCATCCCCTTTCCAAGTGACACCTCCGATAAATTCCCTTCACGTGACCCCACTTGCAGGTGCCACTTCCTGCCGGGTCTTGACCAACACACATCCCGTATCAAAACAGCCTCCTCGTGCAAATGGCCTTGTCCAAGGGCCTCCAGATGCCTGCTGTCTTCGGTGGTAAAGCCGGCCCCACCCACCCAGCCCCTGGGCACCTCCCCCTTCCTAGGGAGACACTTTACTAGGCTCCAGCAAGTTCTTGGGGGGCTCCGTTCCCGCAGGAAGGCCAGGCTGGCCCAGGGCTAGGAGGACATTCGAGCCCATACCCCAGACAGGACAGAGATGGGACATGTGTGTGTCCCTGACCCAATGAATGCTCACCTCCACAGAGGGAGGGAGGTGGGGGGGGGAGGGGTGCGCAAGCAGAAGGGAGGCGGGAGGAGGTAAAACGCCCTGACCCTGATGCACCCCAGACACCTGTGGGCACACAGACAGACACCTGAGGGGTTGGCCTGGGCCCTCCCCACCCACCTGCCCACGTCTCCAGGGAGCAGTGAGGAGCTGAAGGCTTCCAACGCCCCAGGCTGGTGCTGATGAGCCGCCAGCTGGGTGAGCAGGTGACCTGCCACCCTCCCAGCTCACCACACAGTCCTATCCCCTCGTCACGATCGGATCCACAGAGAACTCCACGCTCCGATTCGGGGAGCCCAGGAGGCATTTGGCACGGACGTCGTCATCTCCACCCCAGACCTCCTCCCCGGTTTCCCAGCCACTCTGCACCCCTGAGCAGTTCACCCCGAACCCCGACTTCACAAAGGTCAAAGGATCCCTGCCCTCGGGTTCCCAAGGGCCACAGACCTCATCGCCACCCCCAGGCCATCTCGGGCAAAGGTCCCACATCAGATTTCTGGAACCATGAAAACACGCCTGACGTATCGCAGACCTTCACCGGGGTTCAACGCAGTCACACCGGTATCTCCCTGTCCCTCACAGAGCTATTAAAACGCCAAAATATAATTTTAATCATCAGCGGGGTTTTAATTAACACACAATCATGATTCCCATTCAGTCAGACTCCTCAGCTTCGCAGAGCAATTACTCACTCACGGCATTCAATTTGAAGGGGGACCACAGATTGGGATCTCCTGCAGCCACAAGAAGTGAGATCAGAACATTGCTTGTTAGAACTTATACAGTAAGTTCACTTCAGAGAGAGAGTGAAGACCAGTTCCAGGGCGGCAAAAGGGGAAGACTGGGAGCCAGTGGGTGGCCTCAAGGAAGGAAGATGAGTGTGGTCTGCGGTGGGGGGGCGGGGGGGGGGGGTTGAACGCCACCCAGCCAGCTTTTGGAAGCATGGCCCAGAGGCTCCCTCACTCTGCCCGGGGGTTCCCAGCATTTCACACCTCCGGGGATGGAGAGCTCATTACCACGCAGAGCATGGTGCCCTGTATAAGCTTGGAAGGCACCTCTCATCTCCAAGCCTCTATTTTCCAATCTGCTGAATGGGAGGAAGAGGGTCCAGTGAG